CGTGGGCCATAGTTTGAACTTGGCTTACACTGTCACCTTTTTTTTATAGCAACCATGAATGTGTAGGTGTTGTAATATCAGGAGAAATGATAGAAGCCATCGGGGTGTCAGCACATTCACTTTCTTAAAGCCTTTAGTAAAATCCTATAAGAGAAAGAGGATCGTTGGCCAACGGTGTTAGGTACCTGACAATGAAAATGGAAGAAAAACAGCTTTGCTGGGATTCTTCCTGCCTGCGGTTCACAGCCTATAGTGATAGGGACCCAATAATCTGATCTGAAGGATGGACGGGTCAAACCCTGAAGCAGAGGTCAGCAAACGCCGTCTGCAAAGGGCCAGTCAGTATTTTCAGCTTTGCTGGCCATGTGTCCACGGTAGCACGAGGACAGCACATGCTACACGGATGGCCGTGGCTGTCTCCCAATGAAGTATTATTTGTGGACACTGAAGGCAGAACTTGATACCATTTTCACGTGTTAGCAAATTCGTTCTTCTCCGCACTGTCCCTCCAACCATCTCAAAAGTAAATCCAGCTGGGTGCCAGCGGCTCACGCCTGTAATCCTAGCTACTTGGGAGGCTGAGATCAGGAGGTTTGCAGTCCAGGCCAGCCCAGACAGACAGTTCTACAGACCCCATCTCCAAAATAACAAGAGCAAAATGGATTGGTGGTGTGGCTCAGGTGGTAGAGCGCCTGCTTTGCAAGTGCAAAGCCCTGAGTTCAACCCCAATCGCACCCCCAACCCCCAAAAAGTATAAGAACCATTCTTTAGTTCATGGGTAGCAGGACAGATCTGGGCCACTGGGATCTGGATGTGACCAAGATAAGATTCCCTACACAGAGCTGTCCCCTCCCCGGCCCCTGACCTTTCCTGGAATACAACTGGGTCTCTCTCCACCCAGCCACGTGGTGGAGCAAGGATGAGTGAGCACGTGACCAGGTAGCCCCATCCGAGCCTACCTGGTGCTGGAACTCAAACAGCTCTGGACCAGGTTAGAGACTAAGTTTCACATGATGTACTTAACACCAGCTCAGCGTCCACGCCCTAGCAGGACACAAATATTTGTGAGTGAATGACCGAAATGCAAAATGCAATGTCTGAATGAGCACCATCCAGCTGCCACAAGAAGCCCCTCCCCAATGTAGAGCTAGAAACAGAATGGACGGTGGCCCTGCAGAGTTTAGTTGGTAACCCCGTGTAGAAGCAAGGAAGCAGAGAGTTTCGATTACCTTTGGGATTCCTTAGATAAAAATTAAAGATCTCTCTCTCTCTCTCTCTCTCTGAATTTTTCAGTTTTAGCAGAGTGTGCTGCAGAGGCACCCTTGACATTTTGCATCTTTAAAGAACACAAACTAAAGAACAGGACCAGGAGCTGGGCACAGTGGTAGACACCTGTAGTCCCAGCTACTCTGGAGGCTGAGGCAATAGGATTGCTTGACCTGGGAGTTCAAGGCAGCATAGTGAGATCCTGCCTCAAAACACAAACAAAAAAACAGGATCACATACTCTTCAGGGACGTCTGCAAAGTGGCCACTTGTTCAACGATCACTAAGAGGACTGGTGAAGGGGCTTAAGAGGTAGGGTGCCTGCCTAGCAAGCATGAGGCTCCGAGTTGAAATCCCAGTACGACCAAAACAAAAAAAAAAGATCACTAAGAATTTTAAGATGGAACCAGGATATCATCCACCATGGCCGGCCTGTCGATGTGTGGGGTCTTGTGTGACTACACAGAGTTGTATGGCCACCCAGCTGGCCCCACGAGAGAAGCAGAGGGGTGGGAGATTATCCCATGGCGAGCTGTGGAGCAGGACAGCTTGTTATAAAAAGGCACTAACTTAGCCTTTTACCCTAGACCTCGTCACAGTAGGGAACGGCAGAACCTGTGGCTCTGGACCATTCGATTTTCAGTTTTCTTTTTCATGTAGTTTCAGATTATACAAAGCAGACTGTTTTAAAGGTATTCAGGAGACAGTACCTAACTGTCCTAAAATCACAATTGTTCCTCAAAGCAGGATTCAACTTTAACCTCTCAGCCACCCCCACCCCCAGTTCTGATCACCCTATCTTCTGATACGAAAACTTGACCTTGGACTTGCACCTGTGACCGGTTAGCGAGGTTGGTGATTCCCCACGAGGGAGGTTTTGCTGACACAGCTCCCACAGGGGTGGCTGTGCTTGGTGTCAACATTTACACATGGGGTTTAGGTTTCTTTGTCTTCAATTAATAGAGTGTTCGTGGGCCTCTGCCTGTTCACAAGGAGGGTGATACAGGTCCCCAACCTGAGGCAGAGTGTGGGGGAGCATCAGAGGTCTACGATTCTCCCGTTTTTGAGCCTCTGCACCCGCATTCACACAGAGCGACACGCAACGTTCTCCAAACTCATTTGAACAGAGACTCAGAATAATTTTAATGCAAATAACAAAACAAGTTAGTCTGACTCTGTCACATGGGCCCCCCCACCCCCGTGAAAGAATTACAGTACTTTATAAAAATGTCAGAGGATGTGAAAACTACAGTTCCTTCAAGCACAGTGACAGATTTGGTCCTAATATTTGCTTCTTGGTGTCTTTGCTAACTTCGCAGTTGTTGTTGGAGCTGACGAGAGACACGAGTGAGAGCTGCTTCTGTTTCAGTGGGGCTGGTGGATGGGCTGGTGGAGGTTTGCTCTGACACCTTGGTTTCTTCCCAAATGCAGGCCACACAGTGGGGAAGAGGCACCGCTTGTGTCACACATGGATTGGACGCCAAATGCCAGACTTAAGTGATAATAGCAACCAGCTGGGGAGACCCAGTGTCCCTCGGCTGCACCCAACACCCCCAGGTAGTCCTGGGACCTTAAGGCTTTCTCCTCCCGGATTCTAAGGTGTTTTGCTTCCCCTGTGACAAAGACAGCACTACAGAAGTCCCCAGGGAGAAAGTGTGGGGAGCAGGGTGCTTTATGCCACCTGCCTCCATGAGGCCACACGGCATCCTGCTAACTCCAGGGCTGTGAGCACAATGTGCCTGGTGTGGTTTCCATTAGGCGGGAAGTGGTCATTTGTCCTTCTCTGGTTCCATGGTCTGAAGCCACTGGTCTGGTGGCTTCTCCAAGGAGAGGGGGTCCTATTTAGAGTCCTTACTTCCAGGAGGGAAGGGAGGATTCTGGATCTGAGGGGCCTCAACTTTCAGAGCCTTACACACTGCCTGGAACCTGGTGAGCAATTTAATACTAATTGTTGAAAACCAATGAATGAGTGAATTAATTAATTAATGACTTTCCCCACCCAACCCCACACTGAAGAGGTGCGGTGTGGTGGCCCTAAAACTCCTGAGACCTGATGTCCCCCAGCTCGACTGGAACCAAACAGAGCTTCCCATGTGGAAGAAGGTCAAGTGTAAAAGTACTGAACTAGCACAGCAATCACCTCTCTAGCGTGAGGCTCAAAACATAAAAGAAAAAGGCACCGAGGTTCAAAATGACGCCATGGGGCCTTTCCTGGGGCTCCTGCACTACCTGCAAATCAGGATGGTCTCAGAGCCACCTGAGAGCTGCTTCATCCAGACCTGCCAAGCCAGCTTCTGAGGTCAGCTACAGCTCAAGGACCAGGGGGCTTCTGCCTCATCGCTGGGGGACTGTGGAACCCTTCACCGGTGTTCTCTGGGTGGAAAACACACAGGCATTGCCAAATGCATGCCATCAGCCGGAGCCAAGGGAGCTGTGTTCGCATGGGTCTGAGTGCCATGGACGCTGAGAGACGGACGAGCGTCTAGCGACTCCCTCTGCCTATGGCTTGTTTTGAACCGTTCGTTGGTGGTCTTTGCAGGTCTTGTCTGTGTCCTCCACTACACTGAGAGCCACGTGAGGAAAGAGACTGTCTTCAGAGGGGTCCCCTGTGCCTGCCGTGGCAAGCATGCCATCGTTCCTGTGGATGGATGGATGGGTGGATGAATGGATTGATGGATGGGTGGAGGGATGGGTGGATGGATGGGTGGATGAATGGATTGATGGATGGTGGATGGATGGAGGGATGGTAGATGGATGGGTGGATGGATGGTGAATGGATGGTGAATGGATGGGTGGATGGATGGTGGAGGGACCCTACAAGGCCCTGGGAATTGGGGCTAGTGGAGGCAGTCAGCCTTGAATGAAAGGTGGGAAGAGAAAGGAGAGGCCTTCTAAAACAGAGTAGAGCAGAGGCTGCATGGCCCCCCCCAGATGTTTGGTATTGGGGCACATGGCCTGGAGTGGGACAGGGGTGGCCCAGATGTGAACAGTTGTGGACAAGATAGTGAGAACCAAGAGCAGGTGTAGGGCAAGGTGTGGCCTGCGTGGGGCCACAAGACGTGATGAGAGACCACGGACGTCTACAGGCCAGCCCTGCTCCCCTGGCTCTGGGACTGTGATCCCCAACTCCTGTGAACATATGATCTCTTGAGGAACTTTCTAGAAATGCAGACTCCCTGGGCAGAAGGCTGATCTAAGGGTCTGGGGAGTGGACCAAGAGTGCTTGTGGAAACTCTTGGCCTAAGGCAGACACCCAGGTTAAGGATCACTGTCCCCAAGGCAAGCAGGACACACTGTCAGCAGATTTGGGTGGTGACCCAGTGCAGCGCAGGAGGGGAGGGGCTCTAGACCCCTTGTAGACAGAACACCAGGGGCCGGCTACACCTGTTTCTCACGTGAACTTGGGGGTCAACATCCAAGGACGAGTTCAACCCCTCCCCTGGGCTCTCCTCACCCCACCTTGCATGGGGAGCCAAGATTCAGGAGGGGGAGCTGAGGGTGGTGGGGCTGAAACCCACAGAACACACGTCCCCAGAGACCTGGCTTTGTCCGGCTCTTGTCACAGCCCATCACAGCCCCCACCGCCACCCAGGGGTGGCGTCCTGCCAGGAATATTCTGGATTTGCCTTTGTCTGGTTGGGGTTTTCGGGTGGGCAGGAGGCCTTCACGGACTATCCCTCTTTTTTCTTTTTCCTTTTTTTTTTTTTTTTTTTTTTTTGGTTTTTAAAGGAAACAATATGTTTGCTAGAAAAACCACAAAAAAAAAAAAAAAGTGCTTATATACAAAACGGTTGAGTGACTGTGGGTGCCGTCCTGCAGGAGGCGGCTCCTGGGTGCCTATTTGCGCTTCCTGAGGATCAGGTACATGAGGCCACTGACGAAGGTGAACGCAAAGGCCACCCAGGCCAGGATGTACGAATAGCCATAGCTGCCTTCCGCCATCATGGCCCCATAGAACTCGGGGTTGTTGCTGTGGAGGTCTTGGCGCCGATCTGTGTAGATGGAGGCCCCAATCATGACGCACAGACCTGGCGGGAACAAAGCCCAGACTCAAATGAGTCACCGCGGACCAGGGCCACCTGGCCAGCGCCGAAGACACCCTGCAGCTTTTGTTATTATAAGTATTTATTCGACTCTATGGAAACACTGCAGCTAGGATTTTGTGGCAGAAGGATTGCCACCCACCCTGTAGCCTCTGGGTGAGACCAGTTTCAATGTACCCAGCCCAGACAACAAGCCCTACTTGGTCTAACCAAGGGTCACCAAACCTGTCCTGCAAAGGGTCAGGTAGTAAGAGGGGAAAAATAGTCTCAGCTGCTCCGTTCTCCTGCTGGGTCAAGACAACAGCCACAGCCAACCCGTGAAGAAATGGGAGTGGGCTGGGTTTCAACAAAACTTTATTTATAAGAACATGTGGCAAGCCAGATTCGGTCCGTGGGCCACAGGGTGCTAGCCCTGTTTACTTGTTATAGTGCCCAGTTCTGGCTGAAGAAAAATCCCTCAGTAAAAAATATTATTCCCTGAAAAAGAGAGAAGGGTGGAGAAGGCTTTTTTTTTTTTTTTTTTAATTGTTCTCCTTTTCCTGGCTTACTGCTTTAGATAATGTCAGGTCAGGATGGACAGGATGGCATGTCTGGAGCTGCAGCAGCCCCTGTGGGACCATGTGGAGGTCATCACTGACGCTGTAAAGGTGTCAAACTAGAAGGATGGGAAGAGTTGGGATGCCTGATGCAACTGAGGAGCTGCCAAACCAACTCTGGCATCTTCCTCCTGCGGGTTACTTATGTAAAAACAGTAGCCATCTTTATGGCTAAAATCATCAGTAGTTAGATTTTCTCTTATGTGCCAACACTCACGGACACACTTACTGGCACAAGGCCAAGGGCCCTGCCTTTCCTGGGGGACCTCATCCTCTCCTATCCACGCAGCTTCCATCTGTGGCCAGTTTATAATAACAAATAGTCAAGTTGTGTTGTAGACTTCTGTGTCAGACTTGCTAAACTCCACAGGTAGAAAAAAGTGCTCAGAGACATCGGTTTTCTCTGAGCTCCTCCAGGAATGAGGCTGGACTTATTTCTTCACCTCTAGCGGCCTGCACAGGTCCAAAGTGGACACTTCTGCCACCGACCAGCTGAAACCTGCGGATGGCTTTCCACCAGCTTAGGACAAGCCCCTAACTCCTTTCCACAGCCTGTGAGACCCATGGGGTCTGGCCCCACCAGTCCCTCGTCCCTCCCACCACAGGGCTCCAGTCCTGCTGTTCCCTCCCCACTGTATCCACACAGCCCACTCCCTGTGCAGACCCCAGCCCAGGCTGCATGCCTTCTGGACGCCTTTCCAACCCCCCCCCCACTAAAGCCAGGCTCCCCGGTGTGGAACACCCGCCATGGAGCAGTAGCCAGCCTCTTCTTTCTGGGTGTTCCCGCCCCCTCCGCCCCGTTCACTCACAGGACATCAGCTGGATGATGGAGGTCAGGACGAATCGCTCTCCCTGCTTGAGGCGGAAGAGCTGAAGCAGGAAGATGAGGAACGCCATGCAGCACAGGATGGTGGACAAAATCATGGTGGCCTGCACGGCCTGCAGCGTGGGGTAATCTGCAGACAGAAGGAAAGAGGCCACCACTGAGGACCATGGCCAGCGCCAGCAGGGGCCAGATCTCCTCCCTCTAGTGGCCACCTGCACAAGTGACCAGAAGAGCCTCAACCCTTACCAAGGGGAGGATCCTGAGTTTCAGCAGATAAAGCAAGAACCCCTGCTCTGCCTGCCACCTGCCGCCTGCCTGGCTCATGGACGGAGGGCTTTTAAAAGTAAAAACACGCTGAGCACCAGTGGCTCACGTCTGTAATCCCAGTCACTCCGGAGGCAGAGAGCAGGTGGATCGTGGTTCGAGGCAGGCCTGGGTAAATAGTTTGTGAAACACTATCTTAAAAAAAAAATCACAAAAAAGGGTTGGAGGCATGGCTCAAGCAGTAAGAGCACATGCCTAGTAAGCATGAAGCTCTGAGTTCAAACCCCAGTGCTGTCAAAAAAAAAGAAAAAGTAAAACACCCAGGTCGTACCTGGCAGACCTGAGTTAGGAGGCCAGGATGGGGCTGAGGGCATGGCTCAAGTGCAGAGCATCTGCCTGACCAGTGTCAGTACTGTAGAAAACTTAAGTCAGCCCATCGTGTGGCCTCCAGAAGGATTTCTCCTGGACTTGGGGCTCATGAATTCGAGCGACCTTCTGAAAGCAAGCCCCTGGCACCCTTAAGGCAGAAGAGGGAGCCTTTTGGTGCCCGCTTAGGAAAGGCAGCAGGAAATCCTGTCTTAGGTCATTATAAAGTGGGGCCTGAAGGACTGCAGCTGGGAACAGGGAGGTCTCTGGGAAAGCCAAGGTCTCCTGGAGAGAGCCATATGCAGGGGAGGACACAGCTGAAGTGATGGGGACAGTGTGAGCGTGCAGGCTGGAGTCACCTGCCTGGGCCTTAGTTTGCCCCCTGTAAAATGCTGGTGCTATAAGCTGACTTCATCAGGCTGGGGAGGCGAGTGAAGTCCTGGCTGAGGGGTTACAGGGTGAGGGGACGGTCCCATGCAAGCAAGGGCTGAGTTACCACCATGATACACCAAGAGTGCGAGGGGACTGTGTCCAGGGCACAGAAAACCCAGGGGCCCACTCTCAATAGATGATAGAGAGAGACAGGTAGATAGATAGATGATAATAGATAGATAGATGATAGATAGGGATGGATGGATGGATGGCTAGAAGGATGGATGGATGGACGGATGGCTGGATAGACAGACAGATAGATAGATGGATATAGAGATAGAGATGAGAGAGGGAGAGAAAAAGAGAGAGAGAGAATTCTTTGGCAGTTTTGCCTGACACTGCCTGGAAGGAGCAAATTTCTAAGTGCCCATGAAGCCTAAAGTCCCCCGGGGTGCACATTAGGGTCTCCTGGGGGAGAACCACACCTCTCCCCGTTCCCTATGGGAAATGAGAGAGGCCAGGCCCCCCTCCCCCTCCCAGCCAACACTCACACCACAGACTCCCTCTGTGAACTCCAAGATCAGGCAGAAGCAAACTGCAGTGGACGAGGCAGCAGGGGGACCTGGGGAGGGGTGGGGTTGAGTGGAAGGGGTTCGAGGGACCTTACTGGGTCATTAGGAAGAATTTGTCTCTCTTGTCTGGACGGCGACTGCCTGGAAGAATGTACGAGAAGATGCACGCATACTTAGGAAGTGTGCATTTATGTGTGTGTTGGGGGGGAGCACACACCTGTATTCCCACCACGTGGGAGGCTGAAGCAGGAGGATAGAGAGTTCGAGGCCAGCCTGAGCTACATAGCAAGACCTTGTGTCAAAAAAAATGTGTACATTTCCTTGTTTGTAAATCATACCTCCATTTTAAACACAAATCCCAGAGTACCAGGGAATTCCAGGCTTGCTGGTTAAAATGCAGGGCCTCTGTCCCTGGAGACTCAGCTGCCCCCATCCTGGGCACCAGAATCTGTGCTCATCCAATACCCCAGGTAAGTCACATCACAGGATGGGCTGGTGACTTCAGGGAAAGGGTGGGTGGTGCTTTCAGGACAGGGTTTCTCAGAGTGGGGTGAGGGCAGAATGGGCCCCTGGTGACCTGTGACATTAAGTGTGACAGAGCCAGGGAGGGCACAGGAAACAGAGACACTGAACCTTTGCTGCTGTCAGTTCACAGACCTCGGGGAGGAGGTCTCGGCTTGCTGCATTAGCACCCCCATAATCCAACACAGCCCTCCATATCCCCGGCGTCCCCACCCTTGGATCCAACCAGCCATTTTCCAGAGGGATTAAAAAAAAAACCAAAGATCCAAAAATCAAACTTGAATTTGCAAAAACTTTGAATTTGCAGAGCATGACGCCAAATTCACACAAATAAAGTGATGTGCAGGCCTTGCCTTAGTGCCAAAGGAAATCTAGAGGTGACATGGAGAAGGGATGCACATAGGTTGTTCTGTAAAAGGACCTGTGGATTTTGAGACCCTGTGGGGTCCTGGAACCCATCCCCTAAGGATGCTGAGGATGACTGTGTCTGGCTTTTGTTCCTGGTGTTGTTTGAGACAGGGTCTCACTATGCAGCCCAGGCTGACCTCAAACTCCAGGTCCTCCTGTCTCAGCCGCCCTGCTGAAATCACAGGTGTGCATCCCAGTGCCCTGTTTCCTATCTGAGTTTTGGTTGTTTGTATTTTTTTTTCTTTTAGTGGTACTGGGGCTTCACACTTGCTAGGCAGGAGCTCTACTGCTTGAGTCACGCCTCCATCTGTTTTTTGCTCTGTTATTTTTGAGATAAGGTCCCACTTTTTCCTTATGCTAACCTGGCCCACTATTCTCCTATGCCTCCTGCTATAGCTAGGATGGCTGGAGTGCTCTATTGTGCCCAGCCGTTGGTTGAGATGGGGTCTCACAAACCATTTGCCCAGGCTGGCCTCGAACTGCAGTCCTCTTGATCTCCACCTCCCAGGTATCTAGGATTAGAGGCGTGAGCCACAGCGCCTGGCTTGTATTTTGTTTTGAAAACAGATGGAGCAGAGGGAGATCAGAAGGGAAGTGTGTCTGGCTAGACGTTAATAAAAACAATGCTAGTATTTTTCTAAAGCTTTCCTTCTTTTATGGCAAGGGACACTATTATTGTGGTGGGGATAGAAAGAGCACTTTGCAAAATATTTACATGTGAGAAAGGCTAGCGTCTGTATCAGAGGAGCAGGTGAAATATTTCAGGAAAGGGCAGATAGAAAAAATCTCACACCTGCCGACCGTACAGTTTCTTCTTCTTCTTTTTTGGTGGGACTGGGGTTTGAACTCAGGGCATCATGCTTGCAAAGCAAGCACTCTATCACTTGAACCACACCTCCAGTCCATTTTGGCCTGATTATTTTGGAGATGGGCTCTTATGAACCATTTGCCTGGGATGGCCTTGAACTGAGATCCTCCCAATCTCAGCTTCCCAAGTAGCTAGGATTACAGGCATATACTACACACATAGCTTTTGTTGTGTTTTAAAGGAGCTTCAGGGCTGGTGTGTAGCTCAGTGGTAGAGCACGAGCTTAGTGTTCACGAAGGTTCAATTCCCCGAATCAAAACCAAAAAGAGAAATAGGTTTTCCATCTCTACCAAGCCTTTTTGTGTTTTTTGCTCATTTAAAGAGAAAGGCATGGCAGCCACTGTTACCACCCCCAAGTCACAGCTGAGGTTTTGGGAGCAAAGGTGACCTTCCCAAGGTGCGGTCACACAGCTGTTAAAGCAGTAGATACCCCCTAAGTCCCCGCCATGGTGGCCTGCTGGGGTGGAGGGAGCAGCCCAGTGTAAACCATGGGGGCTGAGCCTACATAGAGGCTCTCCTCGGGAAGGGAGAGTGTCCTGTCCAGGACTCAGAGAGCATGATGAAGGGGGCTCCCTCTGTAAGGACAGGAGGCTGCTCCCTCCTGCTGGGTGTTGTGCTATGACCCAGCTCAGCAGGCACTGGGCAAAGCCAGGCAGGCCCAGTGTGGAGGGGCAGGGGGACCCAGGCCACGGTGAACTACGGGACGTGCCTCTTCGCTCTCAGTTCATCACACTCACCATCAAAGCTGTCAGTGAATTCTGTACAATTCGAGCTGTTGGTGCAGACTCTCCACACATCTGCAAAAAAGCCTTCTCCTACCCACCAGGCCTGAAACGGGAAATGGAAGAGAGAAAGAAAGGCTGGTTAGCCATGCAAACACTAACGTGGTGCAAGGCACAGTGCAAACAAGAGCCCCGTCTGACTGGGCACCTTCCCCAATTGCAGCATGCAGGTGAGTGCCCTGGACACCTTGTTCAAATACAGACTCTGGGTCAAGCAGCCTGCATGGGGCCTCTGGTTCTAACAAATTCCAGGGGATACCAGGCTGCAGGTATTGGGAAGGATCCAAGGTGGCCTACAGGTGAGAAGAGGCTGAGCTGGTGGTAATAAGAGCAGACGGTGGTCAGGACTGAGCATGGTAGCGCATACTTGTAATCTCAGCCATTCAGGAGGTAGAGACAGGAGGACTGAAGTTCTAGGCCAGCCCAGGTAAAAAGTTAGCCAGACCCTGTCTCAAAAAATAAGCCAGGTGTAATGGCACACTTCTGTAATCCCAGATACTCAGAAGGTGGAGGTAGGAGGATCACAGTCTGAGGCCAGCCCCTGGAAAAATCATGAGACTATCTGAAACAAACTAAAGTGAAAAGAAAAAAAGAGCTGGAGGCAGGGCCCAAGTGGTAGAGCACTTGTACTTACCAAGTGCAGGGCCCTGAGTTCAAACCCCAGTATCACCAAAAAAAATATAAATAAACGGAGGAGGAGGCGGACTGTGAGGGAATCAGGAGAGGGCGGTATCGAGGGGCAGCCTGTGGCAGGCGGAGTGGAGACAAGACTGTCCTGCCTGGGCCCAGTGCCTTCACTTCCCTCTGAGCTCCTTCTCTCCTTGCCACCTGCCATGGCCTCTATGCCCCAAAGACTGGAGGCCTCCCACCATCCACCGGGTCCGCAAATGCTCACTGAGCTTCCACTGCAAGGCCAAGTACCGTTGCACTGACTGGCGAGAGCCCATGTGCCACTTCTCAGTAAGCACATCTGACATCAGCACGCCAGGGTGCGTGAGAGCATCCCTGCCCCTGGTGTCTGCCTGTCCTTCCCTGTCACTAAGTCTGGGACTTCCTCAGAATCCCAAAGGGCTAGATGCAAGAGATGGAAAAGGGGATTCTAGCCAAGAATCCCTCCAGCCAGGCACGGTGGTGCACTCCTGTAATTCCAGGGACTTGGGAGGCAGAGGCAAGGGGATCGGGAATTCAAGGCCAGCCAGGGCAAAGTTAGAAAGACCCCTCTCTCAAAATAAAAACAAAAGGACTGGGGCTGTATTGTGTGAGGCCCTGGGTTCATTTCCTAGTGCCACAAAACAAGTGACAGGTGTCATCATTTATGTTCCCCTTATTATGAAGATCAATCACCAGGAGGTCCACAAGAAGGCAGAGTTGGTGGCCACTCTTGCCACCAACTTGCGTGGTGTATTCATGGACTTCTCAAGCAATGTTTCTGCCCGTGAGTTCTTTAGGACCAGGGTGTGGCACCACGAGGCCATCAACCATGTCCTTACCATACAGCTACGGGCTGGGCACTACATAAAAGATTTAAATTTTCCAGGGGCTCATGGAGAGCCGAGCACGAGCTCTGCCAGGGAGGACACAAGGCGCCCGGGGGCCACATGGGGTCCTGGCTGGTAAGAAGAGGTCAGGGGTAGGGAGCAGAGGTGGCCTGGAGTGGGTCACCCAGGGAATATAGGACAGTGGTCCTCAATGCAGGCTGGTTTTGCTCTCACAGGACAGCTGGTAAAGACTAAGGACATTTTTATGGACACCTAGTGGACAGAGGCCAGGGATGGGACACAGACTTATCCAGCTCCACGTGATGATAGGAGAGCAGCCTCTCACAGGTCCTCAAGAGGGCTTTCGGGGCCCCACATGGGCTCTGTGGGCAAGTCAGAGGGGGACAGGCAAACGTCCCTGTCCTCCAGGACCCATTATCCAAACCTGAATCCAGGGTGCTCCAGCAACCCCACACAGAGGCCAAGAGTCCCCAGGCCTGGGGCTGGGAGACGCCTTGGCAGGGAGGACACCCCCAAATCGCGACCACACGGACAGAGTTCTCCACCCTCCATTTTCGGACTCTAGTGTGCGAGGGCCCTGCGTGGTCAGGGGACGAGAGCTTACATTGTCAATGGTGGCGATGAACAGCAGTGTGGCAGAGGCGATGTGGAAGACGATGATGGAGAAGAGAAGCACCAGCATGTTCCCAGGAGGGCGAGCGGCAGTCACCAGAGCGAGGTGCTGAGGAGGCCAAGAGGGGCAGTGTCAGAATCGTCAATGCAAAACACAAAGCACATCAAACAACTTGTCCGAGGGTCCCAGACAATCTACAATAGCTCTTCTCAGGCCGGGCACAGTAGCTCTCACCTATAATCCTAGCTACTTGGGAGGCTGGGATTGGAAAGAGCAAGGTTCAAGGCCAGCCTGGGCAAATTGTTCACAAGAACCAGCCCCCCATCTCCAAAATAACCAGAGCAAAATGAACTGCAGGTGCGACTCAAGTGGTAGAGCGTCTGCTTTGCAAGTGTGCAGCCCTGAGTTCAACCCAAGTCCCACAAAAAAAAAAAATCTCTCCAGATCTGTTTGCCTGGAGACTTCATTGGACCACAGTCTGGCAGGAGGATCTGCCCTTGGGGGACACAGATGCCAAGCGTCCCTGTGGAATAGGAAGGTGAGGACCAATAAAAAGCCGACTCAGGAAAGCATCCCGCCAGGAAGGAGCAGCTCCGTGTGCTAAAACGTTCTCCTGATCCCCTGTCCCTGAAACATCTATTGCTCGCTCTCAGAGGCCCGCTTCGTAACACAGCAAAAGTGATCACAACACAAAAATATTTCCTAACGATCCAGCCACTTATAAAACTACTTCCACTCAACCTCTCCTCCTAGTACCTGTCTCCATCCGCGACAATGCTGCTCATAAAATGCTAAGCGTGGCGGGCAGGTGCCCTTCTGCTGTTGTTTTTCTCCTCTCACTGATCCACAGGAAGACTACACTTCCCAGACTCCTTTGCAGGTTGGGGTCATAAAAGTGCCCCTGCCAGGCAGAAACACAGAAGAGGGAGGGAGTGCTCCACACTGTCTCCCCCAGGAAGGAGCAGGGCAGGGCACAGCCACAGTACTGTGAAGCCTCACCTTGGGCACAGAGGACAATGGGGAGCAAGTGTCTGGATCATTAAGTCACTAAGACTTCAGGGTAATTTTTACTCTGGTAGGACAAACAGAATAACGTCCAACAGGCAGCGATTAAAGCTGGAGGTCTTGCAAAACAGCTAGAGTTGTAAGAAGCTGATGGAAGGACACTGGACGAGTGCTCAAAGGGCACCAAAGATTATCATGTGACAACTTGTCTGAGCCAGGCTAGTTTGAGATGGAAGAGGGAAAAGAAAAACAAAAACAAAAACTTTGATGACGTGGGGGGTGACAAAAGCAATCAAAGGAATGACCTGAACATCAAAGGGTTAAAAGTCACACTTGGGGAAATTGATGAAGTCTTTGAGCTTTTTTTTTTTTTTTATGAGCAGGAACACGGTCAACAAAGCTCAAATGTCAAGTGACAATGCCACATCAGTAGCCTGGCTGGAAGAGGTGCCACCCCCTAAAATCAACATGTGCTTCATTCTTCTGTCACGCCTCTCGCTTACAACCAGATTTTATTACTAAAGTTTTGTAAGAGACAAAATTAATTTTACCCTCATTTTTAAGAAGTACAGTGCAAAGCAGACCTTGTTTATGATGGAATTTTAGCCTAGTTTTAAATGGAATAAAAAACACACGTGAGTCCTCTCTTTCTCTTTCTCTCTTTCTCTCTCTCTCTCCCTGTGTCTCTCTCTCTCTCTTACACACACACACACACACACACACCCTGATCCACTTACAAGTAAGTTGGCTAAACCAAACCTCTATGTCTAAACACTTCCGTGTGTATTTCTGAAACTCGAGGACAAGTCTTTCATAGCTACAGTGTGCGTCCACTGTAACCTGACACAGAACTGTCTTTTCACCTGAAGTCACTGTCACAATAACACACTATGTAACTTGCTTTTCTCGTTTTCCTGACCCAAGTATCCAACCCAGGGTGACACCTTGCCTTTGTCACCTGGTCATTTTTGTCTCCCTTAATGTGGACTGGCTCCTCAGCCTTTCTTTGTCTGTCATGGCACCAATCTGATCTCGGGTAAGCCATTTGTTTTGTGGAGTGTCTGACAAACTTGAGTCTGATGTCGCCCCATAATTTAGTTCCGGTTGTGTTTTCTTAGCAGGAATGCTACACAGTCAACACGTCCTTCGTGTGTCCTGCCAGGAGGCACAGTCCGCCTCACTGACCCCCTGTTGCTGGTGCCAGCTTTGATCGTTGCTTATGGCTTGCCAGAGTCTCGCACCGTCCGTCTTCCTTTTAATGGGAAAGTCGTTTGTGGGTTGGAGGTGTGACTCCAGCAGCAGAGCGACTGCCTAGCAAGCATGAAGCCCTGACTTCAACCCCTAGTTCCACCGCCCAAAAAAATCATTTGAGGCAGGGGAGGTAGCTCAGCGTGCGAGACCCTGGTTCAATCTCAGCTCTATGGAAAGCAAATCTGCAAACGTTTACTTGTGGGGAAGATAGTTTTGGTAAAATTCATATGATATAAAATTTGCCATTAGTAATATTCAAAAAACTATCCATCACCACCATCTAGTTCTGGAACATTCTGTCACCCTAAAATGAAAGTCTGAACCCATGACACAGTCATTCCCGTTTCCCCTCCTCTTGGCCCTGGCAACCAGTCTGCTTTCTGTGTGCAGGGATTGACCTGTTCACGTTCTACATAAATAGCATGGCTTGGTTAGCATCGTGTTGTCAAGGCAGCATGGGTGAGGAGCTATGTTGAGATGGTGTACCACCGTATCTTTTACGAAACTTCCATCCCAGGATTTTGAGCATCCACCAATGAATCTGAAAGAGGATCTTTTAAGATGGTCTTTTTCAAAATGTGGTATCTATACACAATGGAATTTTATGCAGCCATGAAGAAGAACGAAATGTTATCATTCGCTGGTAAATGGATGGAATTGGAGAACATCATTCTGAGTGAGGTTAGCCTGGCCCAAAAGACCAAAAATCGTATGTTCTCCCTCATATGTGGACATTAGATCAAGGGCAAACACAACAAGGGGATTGGACTATGAGCACATGATAAAAGCGAGAACACACAAGGGAGGGGTGAGGATAGGTAAGACACCTAAAAAACTAGCTAGCATTTGTTGCCCTTAACGCAGAGAAACTAAAGCAGATACCTTAAAAGCAACTGAGGCCAATAGGAAAAGGGGAACAGGTACTAGAGAAAAGGTTAGATCAAAAAGAATTAACCTAGAAGGTAACACACACACACAGGAAATCAATGTGAGTCAATGCCCTGTATAGCTATGCTTATCTCAACCAGCAAAACCCCTTGTTCCTTCCTATTATTGCTTATACTCTCTCTACAACAAAATTAGAGATAAGGGCAAAATAGTTTCTGCTGGGTATTGAGGGGGGGAGCGGGAGGGGGTGGAGTGGGTGGCAAGGGAGGGGGTGGGGGCAGGGGGGAGAAATGACCCAAGCCTTGTCTGCACATATGAATAATAAAAGAAAAATGAAAAAAAAAAGAAAAAGAAAAAAAAAATAAGATGGTCTTTTTCTTGTACCAACTGTCCCTCCTCCTCCAGTGAGCCCTTCCCCGCCAGCTCTCCTCTCTGGCTCAGCCTCCCTCCATGAATCCCTCACAGGACCGATGGAGCCTCAGTGACCCTCAGAGGGGCCACTGCTTGCACCAGGACCCATCACCAGAGCCTGGAGCTCATTCTGGGAAATTCCAGGCACAGGCGACTCTGCACATGGCCACATGGAGAACCCAACGTGCCAGCTCAGAGATTCTTCCAATTCCTTCCAAAGGGACAGGCTCCCCTTTGTTCAGGCCTGCGTCACTCTCAGTGCCATCGTCCTTAGCTTCCAAACAGCAGCATTTCTGATCCTTGGAGGAAAGCTCACAGCCATGCTGAATGCCACAATGCCAGCACCAGCTGGAATGTCAAAGGCCAAATCTCCAGGATGACAATGGCTTCATATGTCACCCAGCTCTGATGACACAAATGCAGAGAATCCCAAAACCAAAACTTTCTAGGGGAGAAAAAAGGGTTTTGCCCACTCTCTGCCAAGCAAGGATGGAACTGAAGATTACAAAGCACGATGCTGGACCACGCGGTGACATGTGTTGAATGACACTGGATCACGCAGTGACAGTGTCCGCCTCCAATCTTTCTCATTACACCAAGGAAAGAGGCCAGGTTTGGTGCTGTGTCTCTAACACTTGGCCCCCTGCCCAAAAAAAGCCCCAAGGCAGAGCTTTAGTTAAGCCATAGTTTGTAGCTAGAATTTAACAGCATCGTCTGGCGTATTGTATTTATAGGGTACTTTCTTTTTATAATAAAGTAAGTAATTCCATTTGTAGTGTGGTGTGAAGTATCCCTCCCTTTTTTTGGAGGTGTGGGGTTTTGAACCCAGGGCCTTGCACTGGCTTGCTAGGCAGATGCTTTACTCTTGAGCCATGCCCCCAGCCCTTTTTGCTTTTAGGTATTTTCAAGTAGAGTCTCAAATTTGTGCCCAGGCAGTCCTGGACCGTGATCCTCCTATTTATATTTCCCATGTAGCCGGGATGACAGGTGTGCACCACCACACCCAGCTTTTATTGGTTGAGATGGAGTCTTGCAAACTACTTTTGCCTGAGCTGGCCTAGAACTGCAGTCCTCCTAATTTCCACCTCCTGAGTAGCTAGGGTTACAGGCATGAGCCACTGGACCTGGCTTAAAGAATCCTTTTAAACCAATTTGTTTAAAGTGAGTCATTTAAGAAAAATCCTATGTGAATTAAAAGAAGTGTTAGCAAAAGTCCCAAGAATGGTTCTTGAATACACAATGCCTGGGGGTTTCTGCTTTAGCCCTAAGGAAGGATTTCAGCTGGGACTGTCAGAGGAAGGGGTAAGTTTTTATAAGAAGTCAGGCATAAGAGAACTCAGCATGAGAGAGCCGTCTGGGGTCACACAACGGTGGCTAGAGCTTGTATTCAGTGTCAGGCACCAGGACAATTAGGGAGCAGAGAAGTAGACGTCATCTTCTTAGTTCACTCCCATGCGTTCAGATCTCCAGTAACAAACAAAACGGAGCGAATCAGTGCTAGAACTTTCGAGGCCAGGACATTGGTGGCGACCTCACCAGAGGCTGGAGGACAT